CTCGTGGATTCCGGATTTATTCAGCGGCCGCTAATGCGTTTGTCGGGTCGCGCTGCGCTTACACCCCGCTTACAAGCACCGGTGCGGTACCATCGGCGTTAACAGAGTAAGTTTTAGAGGTACAAGCTCGCTAAGCGATGCACCCGTCTCGCCTATATGGTAGGCCGCGCCACAGCCGCCATTGTTTCAGATGCGCGCTTTGTAATACCGTTTTAAACGGATTCTAGTTACACAAAGCATCTAAAAGAACGATGCAGGCAGCGTTTGAGAAGTCCGATCTGGTTATCACGGGCATGACGTCTGTTAAATCTTTTATACAAAACGGTAAAGTGCTCTACGGAAATTAATCGCTTATTTGTAGCGGCGTCTACGGGCGAGTTCGTGGCCTACACTTATATTTTGAGACCGGATCGCCCATTTGCTGCGTACCTAAATAAGACCTGTCAGGTAATAATTGATGCAAGAATTTAGTATTTTGAATTATACTGTTAATTCCTTAAAATAATTAAAAATACTTTGAAAGACTATTTCACCTGAGTGTCGCTACATTAGTTTATAGAATTGGAATAGGTATAAAGATAAAATAAATAGCTAGGTCCGAACTGGGTGCACTTTCTTCTGTAACGGTAGAGGGCGCGCCGTGGCACGCGACCGCTACACGCTCAGTGCTAGTGATTCATCGTGCTATTATTGCAATTGTTATCGATACACATATTTAAAGATTGACAGATTTCCAAATTATATTTTATGAAAGATTCCGTTTATTTTAGTAAAAATACATTTTGACCATTTAAATAAATAATATAAACAATATAATTTTAACATTAAAAATTACGAAAAAATTTCTATTATTATAAAAATATAACTTTTTATTTTTACACATTGCAGAAGCTATGCATTTATTCCCAAGTTATATTTTACGGAAGCGTCCTTAATTTGATGAATATATTTCTTATACATTATAAAATATCGAAAGAGTTTCTAATAATAAAAAAGGGATTTTTTTTACTCTGCGCAGAAGCTTTGCCGTTCTGTATATTGGAAAATATAATTATTTTATTACATATTCATAGTGTCAAATACTATGAAAGTTTTAACAGCTAGGTAGGTATATGTTAAATATCGTGTAATGCTGTCCTTATTAACGAAAATTGAGTCACCAGACCGAAATGCTTCGACGCGGCGAAAGGGCCCATCGATAAGGAAGTATCGATTTGTTGGCATCACTACAACTCCTCTACAAGTGGCACGAGCCTTGATACTATCTATTAAGTCGATGTTACAACTGGATTGTTTCACCGGAGTACCGCGCGGATGCGAGAATATTACTCGATACCCGATATCGATATAATCTTAAACATCGATACGAAAACCATCGGTTTTGGCCACGACTTCTATCTTTATTGTATAATGTGAAGTTATGAATAGATAACATATAAATGGTGGAGCACCGTGGACAGTCTCCTCACGATCTCTAAAGAGTTACGCCATAAACTTAACTGATTCTACTACTACTAAGACAACATCCAACTATACAACACAGCAACATAATTATAATCAGTCTATACAAACGAGTATATCTTTCACTCTGAATTGTTTACTTTGCCATTCGTATTGACAATGATCTCGTAGCACATTAAATAAATCTCGCATGGAGATTACAGATAGAAAAACAAGCTTTACAACCGTGAATTTTTAGTTTCGAGTTGATTCTTAAATATGATTGGATAAATATATTGGTTTATGTAGGTGGAAATCATTGCAATTGGCTTCGGCACCGGGGGTAGTGGGTTCGATTCCCAACTTCAATTAGGATTGATGTTAGGCAGGACGCCAGTCGTAGAAAAATATACCTATACCATTAATACCATGGTTTACATGTTACGCCGACCCTACCTAGGTGGGTAATGGCAGGAGAAAGAAGAGGAGAGATGACAAAATTTGAAAAGCAATCCAGAGAAGTGTTTCGGATTCCTTACTTAAAAGAATCACCGTCGTATACGATTGAAAACAGACACTCATTCTACGTCATATTAAGCACTTAACAAAGTACAAGAGAGTGATCATCAGTGGAACCCTAATATTGTAAGTAAACTCGGAAATAGATAAAATGTAGAAATAGATAAAATGTGATGAAAGAAAAAAGGCAATGATTACTGATCACTCTCAATGAAATAAGAGAATATCTTAAATCTTTGTCCGGAGACATTTGACAGAGTTTGCAGGAGCAAACCCCTACTCAGAGCTCTGTGAAAAATCTCAAGTTAATCATTTAATAATGGTAATAAAAATTGTCCCGTTTTTCTATTTATTCTCAGATCAGGCTTTCTCCGAACCGTTAGAAGTATTTTGACAATAATAAGATATAATGCTTCTATATTGAATAAAGATATATTACATAATACCAAGTTGCGCAATACAAATTTTCATCAACCTACTTCAAAAAAGGAGGTTTCTCAATACGACGGTATATATTTTTATTACGTTTTATGTGTGTTCGCGGGTAACTTCGTCGTTTATGAACCGATTTTGATGATTATTTTTTTGTTGGCGAGGAGAAATTACAAGGGTGGTACTATGATAAGGAAACGACGAATCTGATGATCAGGCATCCCAGAGAAATCGAGGGCAATCCTGAAATGTTATAGGTATTAACAATGTTTTTATTTTCCTTCGTCGGTTTTAGTTGGCTTCGTTTGAAGACGGTTTTTTTTTGTTATATAGATATCAAAAGACTTCTTTACTCGTCTAAGTTTTGCCTATAAGCACGCCTTCTCCGCAGTCCGTAGTTAACAAAACATCGCCGGCCGCGTGGACACGCTCGCCGGCCAATGTTTGCTTAACGGTGCATTGATTGCTTTCACGACGAGATAAATCGCGCGTTTATAGTTTAGATCGTCGACCAGGGAGAGGGGTGAGGGGGGTACAATAATGATGCAGTAAAATCGGCTGTGAATGCAAGCGGAGGATATGTTTCGAGCTTGCAATGTTTCTCTGAGCATAACGTCGGTTGGAATTTCGAATACTCTGTTCATATTTATATCATGATGTTGGACAAGTGACAGTTTGTGCTTGTCATTGTTTATTAACAACATATTAATGCGCTATTATAATATAGTAAGATTTGATTGTTTCTTTGCATTTAACTGTACAACTAATTCAACATTTTTTAAAATAAAATTAAACGGTTCCATGAAAACTCATCGATGGGTGAATGAGGAACAGATTGGATGCAATGTTAAGTATCATGGCGTTATGTAAAAACACTTAATGTTTGTTTTTTACGTTTCCTAAATTGATATGAAGAATTTAACTTAGTTTTGCAATACTGGAAAATAATATTACTTTTATTTTAAAATGCTTAAGTTATAACAGTCTTTGTATTATGACAACTATATCAGATCCGTAGCAGATTTACTGGTATTTAACGCGTTTCGGTACACTTAATACCGAATCATTTTAACCAAAACCGCTGCTAGTCTTGGACCTAGACCCACAATTCGAAAATAAAGCGCTAAATCAACCAGCACATAAGAACGATTTCACAAACATTGCTCCTATAATGTACCCCACTCGGTTTACAACAATTGCCGTTGGCATATTATTCTTTAAAAAAATAAATAACTGACGGGTCAATGAACCAGTACCGTTCATATTCGCTTCTGCTTTCAACTTGTACCATACCCGCTCCTATAATTTACCCCACTCGATTTAAAATAATTGCCTTTGGCATGTTATTCTTTAAAAAATAAATAACTGACGGGTCAACGAACCAGTACCGCTCATAGTCGCTTCCGCTTCCAACTTGTACCATACCCGAATGCACCGCCCGATAATCGTTTCCATTAACGCCTCGGCGACCCTTCCGTCCGTACGATTAGAATCCAGGCCCCATCAGCGCCAGCAATCCTCTGCCCCGACCCGAGCTCACTTCGGAGCCGGTCGGTAGCAATTAAGCGAAGGATTAAATGACCCCCATCGACCCGAGCTTGTTTAATTTCAACTACCTCACGGCTAAATCAATTAGGACGCGGAGCCAGCATAAATTGACCTCTGCTCACTTTGTGATTGCTTTGTGAGTTAGTGTTTTAGAAAGGACTAAACGTTAGTGTCAGCGCTTTCGATTTTGTTAATAGCTTCGGTTCAGCTGATGTTATTAAATCCATCCTGTTGACTCGACGATTCATTGATGTTCGAATATTCAGAAATGTGCCCCGGTTACCTCACTCAGCAGAGCAAACGTAAAGGCATAAAAACGTTGTAGTTCTTCCTCATTATTACAACATAAGAAGCCACAGTATGACGCTACAATATATCTAATCCTTTAAACGAGAAATTCTTTATAATTGCTCTGTCGGTAATCGGGTGGCCCCAAAACAGACGGCCGCGGTTCGTATCACGATCATTTACACACTTTTTTTTTTTACTTTTTTTCTATACCAGATCATTTTCTTTATTTTTTTTATTTCCAAAATACATGATTTACAAAAAAAAAACAGTCTTCCTCAGGTTGTATATATTTTTATTTTTATTGCTAGTCTCCACTCAAGATGAAACATGAAACTTTTTCGGCGCTGTCTAAAAGATGCAGGTTTGATCCTGACAGTGACATTTAGACCAACTAATTAAAACCATGGAACCACAATATGATTGATAAAAGATCGTATGGCAGTCGAAAGATTTACTTTCGAATAACCACGACTCACTTAACCAGCGCTAAAAGACATCCAAGGAACCATACTTTACAAATGAACATGCGGAGCATTAAGCAATTGAACAGATACGGGCATTCAACGCGCAAAATCAACGTTGCAACACCAATTAACTTTCATTCGCGGCCGGCCAGTGAACGTCCATCGGTTAACTTTATTTGCGCACTTAACCATTATCTCGGTAGTTAGAGATCGCCGTTACACAAATCATTATCTAACTAATTACCGCTATAGAAGATATCGTAATAGGCGCGCTGCGGGAACGTTACCTTTGCCAATGGGCAATCGATGCGTTACAATGGGCCGCGTATCTCGGACATAGCTGGCATTGTTTCGACGACCAGCTTAATAAGACCCCTCGGGGCTTCCGCGAGGCTGGCCTCCGAGGGGACTGGAGATCATCTCGGCCAGCCGATTACCGCTGGGCTCGGTCGCTGGGCGTTTTCGCTTCGTGTCACTTCGGGCGCCTTCGGGCGGCCTCGTCCCGCCTACCTGTGCGCGCGCATCTCTCCGTCCCCCTCACTCCTCGGCGTCACCCATCAATCCGTCCCCGTCCGCCCTCGTGAGCGCACGCCACTCCCATGGGTCGTGTTCGGCTATTTTCCAATTACAACGTCGGAGCTTTTTGCCCGCCGACCCGATGCCCGTGATAAGCTTTCTATTTTAATAAGAAATGTATGATTTAATCTTTGTTTACGTACCACAACAATGTCAACACTAACGATATGATACCCCTACATATATCTATATTATATATTGTATATTTATGTTCATCAACAAAAGTTGGTGAACCTTTTCAATAATATCAGATTGCCATATCTTGTACGTAACTTGAACGTAATAATATAATTTTTACATACAAAGGATTGCTCCGTACGAAACGCCGTAAACTCTCATATAAAACACTTTCATCATCACTGTTGGTCGAATTTAATAGATATAAAAATACTTTGAAATACTTATTATTATGTTAAGTTGTATATCCATTGTTAAAGTTTAAATCAGCAACGCTTTGTATAACTTTAAGAGTGAACAACCGTTCAGCGAATAATTTGCTACAATATACGATTATTGTTATGTATGTTTCATAATGAAGATAGCTAAAAAAACATTATTCAATGCGTTATAAGATTAATTAGTGCTCTATTTGACACCATAATGTACATGGATTTTTTTTTAATTTCTTAAATGACATCGTGCTAGGCCAATTTTCTTCATCAAGCAGTCAATCGATGTGGGCGAGCTAACCAACCTTAGAATTGAGAATGACTGTCAGTCGAAGGTTAGAAAGTGGCCAAAGAGATAATTGATAAAAAAAGGCAGAGCGCGTGGTGACCTGTTTGATTCCGCTTGCTAATATACCGCGGCATCGCCCGCGTTAAGCTATGTATACAGCGTGTCGTTACCATCGCGACAATAAATGAACACACGTCTAACGCTACTTGCCAATAATCATAAAAAAATGTTAACGTTAAACAAAATCCATAATTAAAAAGAAAATATTTTTCAAATAGTTTGTTTTTTTTTTAAGTAAAAAAGAAACAAAATTTGTAACACCTATACAACTCGCGGCACAGCGTCGCATTACAAGCCTCTCCTTCTAACAGTATGTTTTGTCTCTTTTAAATTTATTCAACCCATTCATATGTTTTGTGACCTTTACAAATGAACTTTACATTACAGTTTTATACGTAAGGGTGTTCTAAAATAGTTTGTTTTGGAAAATTTAATAACTCGGTAAATATTGATGTCTAAAGAATGTAAATGTTTAATACAATTTTAAAAAGTTATGCTCTATATGTGTGTTCATTTATTGTCGCGGTGGTAACGACACGCTGTATAACTCTTCGTTTGTTTAGATCGCGAGTAAATACTGATATCGGCTGTTGTGTTTACGAGAATCCAAAACATTTAAAAAAAATACTGAACCGTTCTTTTTTTAATTTACAGCTTCGGATAAAGTCGAAAACATGTTAAATGTAATGTCATTAAAAATCTTTTATTGTGTGTTTCATTAACCGATAATAGTTAGTTCCGATAATAGTTATAATGGTAATACTGTGTTTATTTATTTATTTATTGGAGTGCTATAGTTCTGTTTGAACTTTTTCTTTTTTTTAAAACATCGCCCTTACTTTACTTTGGTCTGTTAAGTTTTTGTTCTGTTCTTTTTGATCTAGTGACGACCTGTAATAATGATTGTAATTATAAGCTCACATGGCGACGACGATTAAACTATTATTGTGTGAAATGATCACAGATATCAACTCTTCGTTTGTTTAGATCGCGAGTAAATACTGATATCGGCTGTTGTGTTTACGAGAATCCAAAACATTTAAAAAAAAATACTGAACCGTTCTGTTTTTAATTTGCAGCTTCGGATAAAGTCGAAAACATGTTAAATGTAATGTGTTAAATAGGATATTTTAAAATGATTCACTCGATTGTCAATAAACTAATGCCAAACTATCAAAACTAGAATCTGAGATACTGTATAAGTGCCGTTTTTTTTCCTAAATAAATAAAAAAGGATATAAATAAAGCTATGCGTATTCAAGAACCGTCTAGGTTCGTTTATTCTGAAATAAGATAAAATCGGACTTAGACTTGATGCCTTATAATTTTACACACGTACAAACAAACAGTTCAACAAGTCGTGTACGTAGAGAAATGAAACGACGGCGGAATGGCGATGCTCTGGGATATAATTACGGGATGAGCATACAGCCGCGAACCGTCAGCTCTAAATATAAGCCAGTGCGTCCGTGCTTTAAACTTAATAGCAATCTTTATAATGTAATACCGGACCTCGCTAGTGATGTTAAAGCTCTAGTCGATGTCGATTAATACAAAATTTAGGTTAAATATAAAAATACCGCTGTCTTAATACTAAATGGGAGCCGTTGACTAAGAACACGTGCGCAACCTCGACTTATTTATGCTATGTTAAGTCACCGTCAGTACTTAATACAAATAAAAATAAATAAAACGACCGTTAATGGTCGCGTCATAAGTAACACGACTCGAACACATCGACATCGCAATTCAATCGCGTTAAAACTCTCACGCGGCTATGTACCGACTGCTAATACCCAACCATCGATGGTAGCATCACTGGGCGTCCGCAAACCGGCCCCCATAACTCCGACCGGGGCGCGCTCCCTGTCGCGATTTATCGACGGGCGCATCACTAGCCGGGAGCAAAGGTTCCGCAGAGGGCGCAGGCATCAATTTGCGAGCGGTAGCCGCCGCGGGCGCCGCGCCGCCCCTGTCATTAGCCCCCCCGCCTCTCCGCGGGCCCCTCGCCCCTCGCCCGTAGGAGCCAGGCCTTTTTTGCCCCCCACAACCTGTTCGGGGGACGCGGCTGCTGAGGCGCGCAATTCGAGCATCGGTTCACGGCCACGAGCGATAGGCCCTATGCGTGGCCGGTCGACTACCACGCGGCCTCGCCTTGCGTTTTGCTTATTTATCGTCCGCAAATTAAGAGCAGGCCCAGAGCCCTCACACCTGCGCGGAATTCGCCTTATCGTCAACGACTCTGATGTCGACGTTATTTACGTTATTCACATTGGAACCCGTTGCGCGGCTCGACCAAACCTCATCAAATTAATAGGGATCGTTCGATATGCTAACTCCAAACTTGAAATTGTGGCCCGAGTTTCGACGAATTTCAATTTTCGAATTCTAGTCCGATATTATGATTTGACAATGCACTATCAAGTTCCATTTCAAGTAGAACGTATTTGAAATAGGCCGCGAATACGCTGTTACTAGCGCGCGCAAGTTGCAAGCGCGTTTACCATCTAAGATAATCTCACTTACCGTAAGGGAAGGTAGTAAAACACCAGCTGGTTTTTGGGTAAAAAATCTAAACTTTTAAATATCGAGCGCACGAAAACGAAACGCATCGAAACCGCGGCCGTCCCGGCACGTGTAATTTGCCCTCCAATTAAACAATTAGCTCGGATATCATTCCCGTTCCGTTCGGGACGCGGGTCAGTCGTGACCCCGGGGCATGGGCATTAGTGGATCCCGAAACGATTCAGCGCCGACGTAACCCCCATTATACGTAAGTATGCCTTGCAGCACGCCGAAGGTTACCGAGGTCGGGCCAACCCCGTTCCACTTTATATAAATCCGATATGCCTTAAGGCCTTCTGTTCCCCTTGCCGGTTACGTGCGCCACAAAAATGCCTCGTCTCGAATGCGACGGCCTGTACGGGCGAGCGACGCCGGCAAATTGACCTGTCCTTCAGAGGCCCGGCGCAGCGACCTGTCTCCGCTAAATTACTCCGTTCCCATCAGCTAGCCAACGGCCATCTCGCTTTAATTATTCATAGGCGCTTTTTTACCGCGCTACCGCTTTTTACCGCCGAGCCGAGCCGCGCCGTCCACCGGCCGGTTACTTCACGACGGCGTATTAAATTAAAAATAAACGAAAAAAAAAGAAAAAGACTAAAATAATCGAGCGCCGGCGCAATTCGAAAAAGGAATACGTCGGATGACACGGATCGAACTCCGGGCAAATGTCGCGCGGTAAAAAGTGGTCAAGCGTGAAGGGGCGAGGGGGAGGGAGGTCTACGGAGCGGAGAGAGCGAGGGAAGGGGGCGCAGGACGTCACGTAGGCGGCTCGCTTTTTGTCAACGTTCCCGCCGAGATGACAGGTCGCTGGACGCTGCGGCCGCGACCCGCGTCATCTCAACCGAGCAATCTTGATACTTGCGGTTTTTCTCTCGACGTTATATTATTACATGCCGCGACGCGCGGCTATCTTTGCCGCTAGAAATAATTTACTTATTCAACTACCAATTATTCCTTCAATGTTTATTTTCATATTCTAGTACACTTCTACACAACTTTGTACATATTGATATATATAAATTTCTCACGAGTTTAAAACGGGAGATGTTAAAATATTGAGATTCATACGACTACAGGCGATGAATAGAAACAAATTTGATTAATGTATATAATTTTTTGTAGTCGTTCTGTTAATTACTTCAAACCTTACCAATCTTTTACTGGCAACATATTAAAATCCGCAAAAAAAGTCATCCATCGTTCTATTTTTGAACTGGACGATCGGAAATCAAGATGACGCGCGTCTTGTACGATGCGTGACACCGCGACAGGTGCAAGCGGTGGAGGCCGTCCCATAATAAACCTTTACACTTCGGTCAGCTTCCCATGCGATGCTAATGTTAATCGGGCTCCAACCTGCCTTTTATGTATCTTCGTACTTTAGATATAGGTATCGGGGCGTCTGGTCATTTTATATAGGTATTACTCGATGATATTACATGCTGAAAATAGTTTGGAAATACCCTACGTTCGTAATATTCTACGGCAAATAGTTTTCAGATTTATTCATTATGTACGAAAGTTTTTGGTACTTTGTTACGTAAAAAGATGGCAAGCGATCAGGCATCTCATGTTAAATAAACAATGAACAGCTAAAACTTATGTCCTCGTGGGAAGTAATTCTATGAAGCCCTGGTACTTTCCCGGACAAACCTGCACAATAATGGAATAAATAATGTGCTATTTCATTAAATAGATTAAATCTTTATACAAAAGCTGAGTTAATTGTAGTCTGTGGTATCTAAAATTAAAAATCATAATATAAGTTTCATTTGTATTTCGCCCTAATGAAGTAACGTATTAAAGAAAGACGTAAAACGTATTAAAAAAGAAATTTTAAGAAGAGTTCTTCTGGTTTACCGTCTTTACCCTAGACTTCATCAGTATTAACTTCAACCAGTCTGCGACAAAGATGTATAAAAGTTCTAACGTTTTTACCTTGATCCTAATATTTTTACTATTACTGAACTTGAATATTAACAACTATTATAACGACAAGCAGCACTAGTGGTTATATCACCGTTCGGGAACGCAGCCGGAATCCAAGTGACCACTTCTCCATGCGACCATGTGTCCCATGGCTCGAGTAGATAACGTCATATCCGGTATACAGTGCTGCCAGCGCCAACAGATGAACGTAGAACAGCTAATGAGCTAACTGCTTTGCATTTCTGAATTAAAAAAAATTTGACCCCGCTACGAATTTCTGGTACACTGACTATACTAACGGTGTCCTCTCTCCTTGCGCAGAACTTTCGCGAACAGAGGATCGACGGGGCCGGCCTCCCGCTGCTAACGGAGGAGCACTTGACGGGGATGCTGCAGATGAAACTGGGGCCCGCGCTCAAGCTGCGGGCGGTGGTCGCGCGGCGGCTGGAGGCTTGCGCCGGCTGCCAGGCCACGACCACGACCACGGCCGCGACCACGACCACGGCCACGGTCACGCCGGTGACGACGCCCAACACCACGCCGCGGCTCAACGGCGCCGCACTGAAACCGGAGCCGCGCAGCAACTCGACGAGCCCCAGCTAGAGCGCCAACGCGGCCGGACGCTTTCGCTTCAGCGCTCGAGCGATTCACTGGCTTAATGCATTTACCTGGTTCTCACGTGCTAACACGATTGCAGCCAGTAAGTCACGCTGCTTGAGTTTTTTTTTAAACAAGCAATAAAACAATGGAGAGTTCTCCATCTCCATCGAGTTTCGAGTCAACGAAATTCGGTCTACACGGCGTCGCTTTATCGAACACTGCTGTACGTGTAGCATATTAGTGGAGAGATTGCGCAGGGCGGATATTCTTCTCAATTTCTATTCGAAATTCAAATGACACGTTATTTCTCCAATAGTAGACTACACACTTAACTCTAAGCAATATGGCCCATTTAAAATACGTCTGTCAAATAAATATCTGTAGATTGTTTTTTTTATTTGATTTTTTGCAACTTTACGCTAATATTTCGGACCAGTGTTGCCGACGTAGTCAAAAAGCTCTTAAGGGTAATTTCTTTTAAAATATATGTTACTATATTAGTCATCTAGTTCAGTTTTTTAAGTCTTCCTGTTTGTATGTAGATTTTGCATTTAGTTAAAAATAAGACATCTTAGAATAATGACTAATGGATACTTTTATAATGTAAATACATACATTACTTGTTACTTGTTGCCGTCCAAATAGTTTGAATGTAATCTATGAAAGTTTTTGTATGTTTTATCGGGATCATTGATTCATGCTTGGAATATGATCGTTAAAATAGAAGCACAAAATGTGATTTTTATATAGCAAATATATAAAAATATAGCAAAAAATATACAAAATCTGGACGCCTTTATATTCTTTTCCAATGTATCCTAATTGTTTCGGTGCTAACGACCCTGCTAGAACTAAGTAATTATAAAATGGTATAGAATTTAATTGTAAATAAGAGCCTTACTGTATAAATCTTAATATTCATGGAGGCTACTATTGTCTACATTTGTATACAGGGTCACAAAGATACAAACTGTATATAATATAAATAATATTATAGTTATATTAATCGAAGTGTAATTTGTCACTATACATAGCATTTATTTATACCACACCTGAAGAAAGCTCAGTATAATGTACCGAATACAATAATTTGATTAGCTATACAATTAAATTAAGTTTTTATGTTTGTAAAAACTGCCTACAATTTATAATTTGCCTTTTTTATCGTTTATTATTTAAAATGAGCCCGTAAACGCTACCCGTTGTACTGTATATTTTGTTGTATTATTACTTTCGTTCTGACATCACTTTGTAAATTTACAATAATCAAATAGTATCTATATAATTATTAAGTTGATGTTTTTAACCTGTGGTAATCTCCTTAATTGCCAAAATAGTGTGGTAAATAGACAATTTTCGAACACGTGCATGGTGGTAATACTAGGTGCAACGGAATCATTTCCGTCAATAGGAAACCTATGAAATAGGAATTAAATATACAGTTAAAGTTAATGTAAACAAAAAAAGATATCGTGGTGCTAATTTTACACGAGTTAATTTAAATTTGTCTAAACCTAAGTGCCTTAAAATGGGTCTTCCTTAATAAATTCTTTACGTCGCGAATAACTTAAATGCACCTCAGTGAAGTTAGCTCAGCATGTACAACTCATGTACTGTCGAATACAAAAAGCGCTTAACAGCGGATATTAAGCGCCTAACAGCCAAAATAATCAGTTTCATAGATTCGAATAACTACGCTGTTCGCAACTGCAGTGGGGGGGTGGAAGGTACAGAAAGATACTTGATAAACGAGGGCAATAGTCTTTCCCCGCAACCTGATGAACTTCAGAGGCGCATTAAAGTTTTACGCACCCCTCAAATATTAATAAAACATATATTAATCAATTTTGAATATTTTCGAAAGTATTACGGTTATACGCTTTAAATACGGACTTTATGATACAATATCGTTTAGATATTTTATATAGTTTTATTTCAACGAGTTGGTTGATAGATGATTAGTGTAAAATAAGCTTGTATCGCAGTAATCATTCAATTAACTTAATATTACTATGGACCAGTGACTTAAGAATGTAAATTTGTACCTATTATTAATATATATATTTTTTTGTGTTGTGTATAATGTGTTATAAGTTGTAATGTTGCGAGGTTGATGTTTGTGAACGGGACAAGCTCGTAGCTTATTAGATTTTACGTTTAAAATATCATTCCCAACGTATGGAAGGTTAAATTTCAACTGAAATAACTGCAAATAATTATAAACAATTAATACAATACATTTGAAATATGTGAATAATAACTAGGCAGTGAAATGCATCGCTAAATTCGGGCATGGAACAAGGCAATAGTAAAATATTCGCTACGACGAATTAACAATGAAACAACCTTGCGCTTGCCTCCTTGCATGTCGGACTTTACGACTGTTGCTTTATTGACTACATTTCACCATTCGCTGCGATTATTATTAAAAAATTAGAGATTATTTTTCCGACTTGTGTATACTCTAATAAATGACAATACCCGTCTTCCATTACAATATTTATTTGTATTAATAAGTAACATATTGAAACAGCCTCGTGCTTGTCTCTACGGTGTGCTTCTTTATTTTAGTGAATAACACGAAACGACTTCCAACAAATTTTAGTCATCCGTTTACCTTACTTCGGAGGATTGTTAAGTACTTAGTTAAACACTTAGCTTGTCAGCTATTAACGGATTAAGTTCAGTCCAAATTTTAAGTATTTATGTGAAAAGAATAAAAACGACTATTTCAATTGCAGCATTCGTTTTAATTTTTTTTTATCGTGCATCTTAAATGCGTATTTTATATGTCACAGTTAATAACCTATAATACAAAAAACGTCTTAACCATAATTCAATATAGAAATACTATGCATAACATGACGACATAAAATTCATATGTCATTTATCAAGTAGAAACTTATTTTATGTCTTATTGAAATTAAAAGTTTTTCCTTTATGGAATACATATGTGTGTTAACTATTTAATAATAATTTTCTTAACACATAAATATCATAATATATCTTATGATTATAACGCAAAAGTACAAACAAAACATTTTAGTAAGGGTCCAAAACAACAGCAAAGTCATCTTAAAACAACAGGCTCCATTCATAAACGGTACTAGACTCTAAACTAATAGTAGTAAAGTCTTCTATAGTGACAAAAAAGTTACCAAAATAGTCATGACTTATTTGGGAACATGTTAAATAAATAAATAAATAATGATTTAGGTGTCACCTAGGAATTTGCGTATTCCACTGCGTATTTTCGGTTCAATCCTTATTTTTGACAAAGAAATTATATGATCCGCTTAGTAAGTCATGATTTCATTTGTAAAAACTTGTCATGGTACAGGTACATCATTACTAAACGCAGTGCTTCTCAAAAAAAACAATGTGTCTTAAAAAGTATCTTATTGTAGTAATTTATATCATAAACTCCTTTAACTTACTATAATATTAAAAAAATATAATACTTTAAATATGTAAATATTGGAAAATTTTAATATTTTGAAATTTCCAATTTTAATAACCTTTTATTTATCCTGCAAAATATATATAGATTAAGTTTTAGAGCTAAAAGTTTGCTATAAGTATTTTGACAGGCGGTCGTTTAGTTAGATACATATATAATATAATGTGCTAATATCGTCATCATACACACCAACGTATATAATTTTGGTGGAAACCATGCAACTATTGTTGCATGTCAATTCGAAAAAAACAAAACGTAACAGGCAGCTCTATGCTTACCAGTATATAGGCGAAAAACCATAAACTTTTGCCGATTTTGGTAACCGCAGACGTACCATGTCTATGGCAATTGCAACTCCATTGGAATAGCGAGAGTCCATTGATGGCAGTGGTAACAGAACATTTTGCGTCATATGCTGGATTTCCTCATTTGTTTATATGAATATTCAGATTAACTTAAAAGTCAGCCAACCCGGCAAATACTTCCACAATCTATCTTAGGTCATCGCCACAAATTAATAAAGACACATTTTCATCTGATAGATGGCAGTAACAAAAGCAGAGAGATCATCAGCGAACGATCATGATTTAAGTTAACGACCTAAGTGTGTAACTTAAATATAACATTTACAACGCTATCAATCGTTTTGTAAAATTGACTTTGGTTTGTTCGGGTCAATTTTCTTTATTCACGATCAGGTTTCTCAGCGACGAGCTCGAAGTTCCTCTCACGATGATGCGACCTCTTCACCTTGTATTCCATAACCTCTATGATTGTGTACCCGGAGAAACCAAGAATAAGCAGACCAAGGAGGATGAATAACCTGAAAAAGGAAAGTGAACCCCAATTTAAATATATATTTTCAAACTTTTAGTGATTAGCTTTGTTAGTGCGTAGTTAGTTCCCACAGGACCCTCTTCTACTCTCTATTATATATCTGTATCTAAAATAGATAATAATATATTTTTCTCCTTAGTATGAAACCGTAATATCTTTTATAATTTATTTTTGTCAGATTTAACTAACAGTATCTTGAGGTCGTGCAGTGTTGGTGAGCTTTGCTATAGCTTTACCAATTATAGGATCTCAAACTGATACCCGATTACCTTCTTAATATAAATAAAAATAACCTGATCATCATCTTTAGAGTCGGTGCTCTCTTGCAACCATATCGAGTTTATTGAATCTAATATAACGATTAAACCAGTCTGAAATCGAGTCGCATATAAACTTGCTATACATAAAAAAAGTACAGGCGGCAGTTCCTCATTGGCATTATAGTGAGTGAAACAAGAAGAAGGCAGTATATTTTTGCACGACATTAAACCTTGTTATGCATTTTATACTCAAATCATAACGCAAGTTCCTCTTTCTATCGTGCCAATCACTACCGTAGAAATGGTAGAAATAACTAGAGTACTGTAAAGTGACTACAGTTTTTCCGACACCCGTTGTCATGATTATATTGATCGTCTTCCAAGCATTCGTGATCGGATTTAGCTGAACCGAATATCACCTATGACTGCGTCATTACTTATCGATTGATACGGTAGTCAAGAAGTTTCGAACTGCCTAGTTAGTGTAGGCAATACGAAATTAATTTGAATTGTTTTTCGAATGTAAAACTTCCGATAGTTTTTAACATATCTCGTTATTACATACCTATTAACATGTTTATGAAATTTATTAAAGAAAAACTTTATAAAAAGGGTTATTATAATACAAATGAATACATTAATGACAATAACCCCTGGGAATGAGTTGATCGCTCCCAAGCTATTTCTTAAAGGAAAAAAAATCAGTTGTATAATATTTTAATTTTTTTTTAAGAAAAAAAAAATAATTACAAAAAAGAGGATACCTACGGAGTTTCTTTCGCCTGTTTCTTCTCCGCTAGAGGAACCTCATTACGACCGGTGGTAGATTTAAAAAAAAATATGACTATCGATAGATGAAATGTAAGTTTCTTATGTCGATGAATAAATGATTTTGATTTTGATTTTGTTTATAACAGACTCGCCTCAGTCGTGACAGTGACATGAGATATATTAACACAATATTGTGTCGACGACACTAAAATTATAGCAATAATTAGTATTTTAAAAGCAGCCGGGTTTTCTGTTACATTCAATGATTGCAGTACGAACGAACCTTGTCTTCACGCAGAGGTATGGGGCGGAGGCGTACGCCAACACGCTCCCCGTCGACTCCCACAGTCTGAAATTGGAGAAGGCGGCCTCTTCGTCGCCCGGAAACAGGATTCCCGATAGAGCTGTAACAACGGGCAATTATTATTGTATACAGCCAAATCAGGCACTCGACAATACAAGCCAAAACACACTAGACGAGAATATCGTCATCAGACAAAGTGGGGGTCAAAGTTTTAATCCATGGGTAATTTGAGCAACCTTTGCGTGAACACTATTCTTATATAGTACTCCAGTTCTAGTTTCTAGAACCTTCCGCTTGAATCACTCTATCTAGTAAAAAACCGCATAAAGACCGGTTGCGTGGTTAAAGATCTAAGCATAAATAGGGACGGACAGACAGACAGCGGGACGACTTCGTTTTATACTATGTAGTGATTTGATTGTTCGGTTTATTATCTATGTCGCAACACGCGCAACATAGAGTATAAAATATCAAAATGTTACGTCACCGCGTAAACAATTAATAATATGAAAACTAATATTAACCTAAGATAACTACCACACAACAATAGAAATTCAAAAATAAAACATGACTACAACATGACTGTACTCACGATACGTGTTGTCTTTTAACCTCTGACCGCACTCTTGACCGCAAACAAATGTACGTAATTTTGCTTTTCTTTATTCATTGGTTGATTTTACTAATACAGATTCATAGCAGATACTCGTTCGAGCGAGATGAAACATTTTGTTTAATAAGAATTCTTCAGTGGAAAATTTTGAACATTTTAAGATTTGACATGTTCGACAGTGGATGTCTTGCGGCTGATGATAATGATGCTTGAAGATTGCACATAGTCTTAATGTTAAATGTATCGGCATAAATGTCGAAATAGATAAAAGCTTATCTATTTAATATTCCGACAAACAAACAAAGTGCAAATTAAAATATAATGATCATTTTGCCGGTTCGAAGCAAAGAATAAATTACTTTTACACTTTTATTTTTACTGCTAGTCTGCAATCAAGATGAAATTTCAATGACAGTTTAACGGATAAATTGTAAAAATTTCAGGTGCAGCACAGGCAACAGGCACGCGGCCGATGTGGCGGCAATCTCGACAAGAATGTACTTCTTATTTTGAATTTTTAGCAATTCTTGACGCCTTCTAGTGAACTAATTTACAGTATACAGACGCTCACACATAACTTTATACAATGAATATATGAACGAACGCTTTTGGTTTTGCTATTGGTATTTTTATTATTTTTAGTGCTAGTTTGCATTTAGTGCTAGTCGGCATTCAAGGTGAAATTTAAATGAGAGTATTTCATCGACAATTAAATTAAATCACATTAAAATATTATAAAAGTAGGATGGCTTACCGTTGACCTGCACTAGCCACACGGCGTCAGCGGAACCCCATATGGCGGCTAACACGAAAAACACCAGCCATTGGTCCGGACTGGGCCTCCAAAGCAGCAAGGCGGTGATTAAACACAGGTTCAGTAACTAAAATCACACATGTACGTAACACTTTACAATTCACAATAATTGAAATACAGTATTTAAGAATTACTTTCCTTCCACCAACTGTGTATAAATATATTATACCTTATATAAAAATCTTGTATAAAAATCTTATACCTTGTGCCAGTACTCTTTGTATCTCTTTTAATAACAGTTATAATAGGTAAATTTCACAAAATTGTTAGTTGCCGTGGTAATACCGTGAAGTAGTTGCTTTACAATTAACTTCATCATGTCGCTTTTTGGGGGTCGGTGTGAGTGCGAATCGTAAAATTTTCCTCTTATAATTTTATCCAAATAAAAGAAGTATAACATCAAAAAGTCAACAAATCGATAGTCTCCCGAAAGAAGGAATAATGAAATTTATAAAACAAATTATTTTCACTATTCCATTTAAATTTAAAAGTTCGGAGAGTTAATACTATTGATCGTCTTCCTAATTAATAATGTGCAATGATAAAATCCATCAGCCATAAGAAAATCAGTTGTTAATAATTTTTCTCTTTTCTGACATCTAGTTAATAATAAATAAATATAACTAAAATAAATAAAATAAATATATAAAATTCACCAAATTTCGCGGAAAATACATTTTTGTAAAAGACAAAAATAAAAAAACAAAAATTTGGTTATTTGAATTTTTCACATATATTTTGAGGTTATGTGAAAAAAGTATAAATACAAAAGTTGTAGATCTTTTTTTAACCTACAACTTTGCCATTATACTTTTTTCCATAGGCCTTGTAGTGTTGCTGGAAATCGAGATAAACCGTTTCTAACCTAAAAAACTCGCATACACTTTGCATTATGGCCGTGTGGTTCGGCAACAACATCGCTGTGGCACAAATTGGCAGGTCTGTCCGTTTGAGTACCACGACTTTACTGAAGACCGGCGTGAAATGGGACCGGCGTGTTTTACTTCTGCGTTTCGTCTGGTGAGCGGGGCCACTTTATTAGAAGGTGGCAACGCATCTGCAACATTACGAGTGTTGCAAATGTTATGGAAATGTTATCACTCAACACCAGGTGAACCACCTGCCTTTGAGAAGTTCTCTCGCGAACTTTGAGCACGATGACTCTTCGCGGTCTATATAGCCCGAAAGCGCAAGCTTCAACCATCAAAATAAAAACCCTTAGACCTTCTTCATTCTATTACCACCTACTAACAATATGGTAAACTCAGTGTAGAGATTAAGTTACTTATTTTACTTTATTTCTCAGACACAAACTTATCACAAATATACGGACAGAAACAAGATTTTACTGAAAGGGGGCTCTCACAACTACCGTCGCGTATCATCAGATCGATCAGCCGGGTCACGTAATGAAAAACCAAAGTAAACTGACACGTCATAATAAGAGATGACGTCACTCACCAGAGCGGTCACCATGACGGGATAGCGCCCCGTGACCTTCACGATGGCGCCCGCTACTGGGGCAGCGAGAGCGTTGAAAACCCCGAAGCAGATCATCACGAAGCCAATGTTGCTGATGCCGTATGCGCAACCCACGAAAGCCTGCGCAGATAATACAAACGTGATATACAGAGGTAACAATTAATATGATTTTTTGTTTTGGGTGGATCGTTCACTGTAGACCTTTCAAGATCAGCCTTGAGGTGGCCGAAGTTCGACGGCTCCCGAGGGTTCCTCAGCTCGGACCGCCACTCTATTATTAATGTCAGCCGCAATGCTGTTTGGATCGGAAAACGAATCGAAAAAAGAATCAACAACACGGTGAGCTATAGCTATTCTTGATGTTTACCACTTAATCCATTAAGTAATACGGAACACGATAGGATCAAACAATATATAAAAGTGAAAAAAAAATAAACTCGATAAATAGTTTAAGAATAATAGTTTTATGTATAAAATATTGAAAGACAAACACATTAAGAAAGTTCCTGTAATGGAAATCCAAGTAAAATCTAAAAGGAGACATAATTTAAGTAGGATATTCTATTAAATTCAAACACAATACAATACGATACTAATTCTCCTAAACGAATGTTTCAAAAGTGTATACTTAAATGCGTGAAAAGATTTGTGATCTCGTAGTAATAGTATATCAAAGTACTCTTCGTACCTTTTAACATATAAGATACACCTGTCTCTGTCACGTCGGAACATGTTGCATCTGTCTTTATCACTTCGGTCGCGACACGGGTAAATGCGGTCGCCTGTTAGGCCTTCTTGGGGCGCGTCTCAAATAGTTTTTCGTACCTGGGTGAAATCCGCGGCCATGAACGCCTGTTCGGCGCCAATGTACCCGATCACGGGCAGGAGCAGCAGCTGATACTTGTGCCTGAGCTGGCGAAGAGTGACCGCGAGCAACAGGAGACCGGACTTGCCGTGGCTCGCCGGCTGACGTCCAGCGTTGTACCTGAGGACGGGATTCATGCGGAGGGTGGCAGATGTTTGAAGTCATCACCACAACCCATGAGCATGCAGAAAAGTCCAAGGTTGGAATTGGAGTCATCTCATTCTCAAGACGAAAAAATACTTAGATATGCTAGTAATATTTTAAAATTTCTACGCATAGTTTTTATTTTGTAAACATATTTTTATAAATAACCTTTTGTAGTATATAACAAATAGGCTTACTTCTATAAAAAGGGGGGACAGAGTTGTAAATCTTAATATTTATCAATCAAGTTGGAAACTCACCTACTACTGTGTAACTGACATATAGATACATAAATATATATTATAGATTTATAAACACCCAGGTACCGGAAGAACACTATGTTCATCACACAGACAGACTGTTGCCAATGTCAATGTCAAAACTTAATATTTACTTACTAATACTTCGTTGAAAATTTATATTATACCATCGAGCACGTGATAAATTAGTACTTAAAATAGCAACTCACAATTTCATTGCTGCCGGCACCAAGATTTGAACTCAGATTGCTCGATTTTATTTAACTAAGCGAGCGCCCAGACACAGCGGTATCACGCCTCTTACGCTTAGCGCTTCACCTTCATTAAATACGTTTTCTCGTCTGTTAGAAACTATGAAGACTTAAAATAGTCTAGTCTAGTCATAGACTAGCAAGTAGTTAAATAAAATGTTAACCTGCTCTAGTTAAATAAAATGTTAGCTAAGTATACCTGCTCAGTGAATCCACACCGAGGAACACCAATATGACAGCTGAAGCCATGCACGTGAGGTATACCCCCGCTATGACCTGAATCTTCAGCGCCGAAGGTGGTACAAGATTGACGTTTTCCTGTAATAAAGTGAACCATAATGAACGCTATCGGCATGATCTGGTCTGACGTGAAAGAAAATACAGATTTCTTGCATTAAAAACCGAGGAGATGGCTTTAGGCAAATAATTGATGAAGTTTTATGTCGACGACCCGAATGGCGCAATGGTGCGGGTTCGATCCCCACAACTGGAAAAATATTGTGTGTTGAACATAATGTTCTTCAAGTGTCTAAGCGTTTAATATATGTACAATATGTATTTATTTACAAAATAAAAGTATGTTTAAGTATGTTTAAGTATGTTTATCGGTTATCTAGTACCCATAGTACAAGCGTTGCTTATTTTGGGACTAGAGAACGTTGTGTAAAAAATTTACCTAAAAATATTTATTGTTTACATAAATATTAGCAGGACGGTAATCGAAACATCTTTTTATCTTATCACATTGTTATATCATACAAATCGACATAGGAAACTTAAGAAATCAACTCTTCACCACAACATTGTCAGTGGACGTAAAACTAATTCGGCCATCACTCACGTGGGCAGAGGAACCGCTGCAGAAGTTGACACCGCACGTTGCACCAAAGTCCACCTCGGGAGCGGTAAAGTTGCTGATCAGCGCCGAGGCCTTAGGTACCAAAGTCTGGTTCAGGAACACGTCCGCATCACCCAACGATGACGAGAGAACTGTACGCGTGACAATTTTTTTATTAACGAAAAACAAAACCAACTTCAAATATCTCGCTCTGTATTCATTTTATAATTGATTTTCAGGAGTTCCCACGTATACGGAGCCCAATACCAATGTAATTAATATGGGACCACATGGGAAGTACCAGCTTTCGAATAAAAAAGAATCATTAGAATCGATTCACGCAGTCGAAAGTTAGGTAAACTGAGGTAAAAAACATAAAAAAGTGCCTGGAGGTTTTTTTTTTTGTAAATTATGTATTTTGGAAATAAAAAAAATAAGAAATAAAGAAAATGATCTGGTATAGAAAAAAAAGTTAAAAAAAATAAGTGATCGTGATACGAACAACGGCCGTCTGTTTTGGGGCCGCCCGATTACCGACAGAGCTATTATAACATTTTATTTTGCGGCGAAATTTACTGTACTATTCGAATGATATTTTTCATTCCCTGAAAACAGGGATACAGGAGGAAACCGGGAAACAGGAAAGGGACATTTTCTAAAAATAAAACCTAGCTAGGTCGATTTTTCGCCCCCGAATACGCACATACTAAATTTCATGAAAATCGCTGGAGCCGATTCCGAGATTCCAATGTCAAATGTCAGAATTTGTGTGGCGATGTTTATTTATTTATGCTTTGTCGTAAATACCCTACAAGGGATTGCAACAGAGGAACGTCATTCCAATTAGAATACTCTACCAGTCAACCCGAAGCGGGAAGGAAAATTGTGGTAGGTGCAATAAAAAAAAGTGGGCAAACATGAATATAATCCAAATTAATTTAAAATAAAAATTGATGTGTGATAGGTAAAATATATTTTGGAAAAATAAATGATTTAACATAAATACCATCGAAATTCATTTAAAACAAAAATTTATACGAAATATAAATATTTTACGTATCATGTGTAAATGTTTGTTTTCATATGTGATTGATAAATTTAGAACCTGTTCATGTTTGTTATTATTTATAATTGTAAAAGCGAAAGGATGTTGTTATTCTGTCTTTATAACATGCAATGAAGCAATAAATCTATATCTCTTTTCCGGAAGATAATATGTAACTGATATATAAAATAATTTTTAATAACAATTTAAATGGGTCAACTAATTAACCATCAATGTATGTTACATTAAGTTGACCAATCTATTACCCCGGAAGAAAATACTTAAATTCCGCCGCAAATACTTTAATGTTTATGACAGACGTACTTAAGTTTGTATACACCTCAAATTATCACTTGTAGTATTTTAAGTTTAATAATAGTTAAAAACATTTCTCTTACGTAAGACAACATTATTCTGTTTTGTAAGGACTTTTAACACAAATTCAACCGAAATACACCAAGATCCGAAACAATTATCTATGGACCACACAAATAGTTGTCACATGTGGGAATCGAACCCACGAGCCAATACCTTGACAACTACGCCATGGACTCTTCAAATTATAAAATTATAATTAAGACAAGCATTGGTTACGTGCATTGCAAAAACACTTAAAGAAAAAAAGTATACTTATTTTTTTAATTTTTTCAAAGGAGACAAAAGACAAACGTATACAACGAATTTTTTTTTTGAGAGAACTCAGAGTAACTAACAAGTTTTATCATAAATGGAGAATGCCCAAGAAAAGCTTTAAGGACTTCTTTTAATTGAAAATTATAAGAATAAAATAAAATTATTAAACTTATTAGATTAAAGTTTACTATATACTAAAACACAAAATATTACAATTAAGGTAAACAGTAATATATATAACAGTAAAACAAAATTGATTTCAAGAAAATTATCATTTCAATTATCTTTACTTGCAATTATCTATCATGTCCTCTTAGCACTTGTACCCAAATATATTATTTTTTGTAAAAAAAAATCTGAAACGCTCATTTGTACATTTTGCTTCATATTGAACTGTTGCAACCGAAGCCATTATAGGTTTATTCGAATTCGGTCCGACTTGATTTACTTCATATTGAGATTTTAAAAAATTAAGTTTCATAAAAAAAAAAAAACAAGTTATTAATGTAGCTTTTCAATTAAAGTTTAATGTCGTGCAAACATAAAGGCGTAGATTTAGGTACCTCATGCATTCGCAAGGGTGAAAGTAAAAGCGGCTAACAAAAGCCATGACCTCAGAATTCCTAATCGACACAGATAACAATTCCGACATTGAACAATAAAATTAACACGGCCCAAACAAACGTACCGCCGACCAATCAAGTCAAGGTCGTACTGTCACACGCCCCGAGCCACTTCCGTCAACGCGTTGCAAAAACGAAAACCGTGTCTACGACCATTTGCAAGTTTGACTCGTTTCCTTATTCTATATTTAAATGGAACGAATTCACCGACTCCGAGGAGTCGGCACATAACGACAATGGGACACTAGCGCACCAAAACTGAGGCACTCAAATTACGCCAATCGGTGTAATAAGATTGATTATTCTATACACTGTTTTTTTTTTATTTTCATGTCATAAAGCGGAACAATTTTTAAACGCCGCGCAGTATTGATGGGCCATCTTTATTAAAACATCATTGAATTCAAATATATTATGAGTTTCCATTTGTATTTTCAGTTTATAAGTGTTACCTAATGCATCTCCGTACTCACATGGAAGCTAAACATAGCCTAATGCAAATAGAATTTTCCAAATCGATTCATTCGGTCGGAGTTCTGAGGTAACAAACATAAAAATTGAGTGAGCCGCGATAGCTCACTGTCCGGACGCTCGCTTTTAATTCAATATGCTCGGGCATCCCGAGTTCGAACCCCGGTGCCGCCCCCAATTAAATTTTTAATTTTAAGTGCCGATTTATCACGTGCTCAACGGTGAAGGAAAACATCGTGAGAAAATAAAAAAAATATTTCGATGGTATGTGAAGTCCCCAATACGCTGTGGAGTCGCATGGTGGCTATGCCGTAAACCCATCGGTACAGAGTAGGCGTTTGCCCTGCAGTGGGACTTGTGTAGGTCGTTACTTACGAATACTCTATTACGAAATAGCATACATATTATTTGATGAGAGTGCCGCAGCCTCTGCCCTAATACCCTCTGTACAGAGGCCTTTGCCCAGCAGTGAGACATTTATGGGTAACCTTATTTTACTTTACTTTTAAAATTTAAACTCAGTTGAGAATGAATTCAACAGATTTAAAAAAGGAGGGGTTTTTTAAATTCTGTTGAAAACTCAAGTGCGGTTTGACGAAATTGTATTTCACGATTGTTTGTTCATTGTTAAGGATGTTCCTAAACAATGAATCTCCGGAACTAAGTAAAATATTTTAACAACAATTGAAAGAGAACTCAAGCTATTACCACATAGATGTTGATCTACATCGTTATGGAGGTCGAAAGTGGTATGGAGGTTAAATACTAGGCAAAATAAAAACATTTTTTCCATTAGTAAATATAGCAAAGAATATAATTTTTTGATAACGCCTTTCATACATAAGTATTTTTATGAGTTACCGGTGAATATTTGTATCCAGATTATATATAACGCACCCACAATTAAAATCTTATCTTATAGCCGGAGTCTTATTTTTTAACTTATCAAGAGAACTTACTATTTAACGACACTATATGAAAGACGTTAAGATTTTCGTCGGGGTGGCAGTCAGCCGTTTAGCTTAGTGGCTAAAGCGTCAGACCGCGAATGCCGAAGGCGTGGGTTCGATTCCCACAGCGGCGAAAAACTTTTCATACTTTTTCTACAAATTTTAAAGTTTTCTACAAATTTTAAAGACACTACTTAAATTACTGTTTAATTTTAACGATGCTGTAACAGAAAACTTACTAGCTGACGAAACGAGATTTCCCCAAATTTGAGCCATCTGATAGAACATGAAGAATAGCCCGAAGAATCTGACCACAAGCACGTCGGCCTTCACTCCAGACAGCTTAGCGTACGGCTCTGCGACCTGTTACACAAAATAAGGTTTGACCATAAGAACTAGTGTTCGCAAAGTGATCAACTTAGACCATAATCGTGAAAAATTTGACGAGAACGTACATTCTTCGTCTTTCTCCCATAAGATGTGTGTAAAGGAACGTTTGCGTGTTATTTTGATTTTTATTAGAAGGCTATTATAGTATAGTATTATTCATATAAATGATAGCATACTCTAGAAATGAATTGATTGCCCCAGGCTCTTCTGAGTGAAATTTAATATATTTGGTAAGAGAATACCACCACCCAGGGACACCACGTCCACCTTCTGTGTGGCCATGGTAATTCCCCAAAACGGGCCTGCCCATTCGTGCAACAGTCGCGGCTGCTGCGTGGCCCTGCCACAGTTATAGTTCGCACATATTATGTTAGTGTTGCAATTTATAATACATTCGGGTATAATAAAATCAAAGATTGCATAACAACTGATAAGTTTGTCCGAGTGTGTCAATCTTACTCCTAAAACTAGTCATTTAAGACATTTAGAACAGGCAACCCTGTTTAAGCAATCAGGTCACGGTTGTGCTGGTAATGAAATAAATGAAAATTAAATTAAAATAGCGAGCGCCTGTGCGCGCGAAAGTGTGTGTGTGTGAGACGTAAGAAATTATACTTCTTTGTCATAGGGAAATAAAAATAAACGTGAATTTGACACCATGAATTTACAGTCAGTCAATAAATCCCTGTAGGTGATTTTATGTCAGTGACAAACTTTATTTTAAAAGACTATATAAAGGTGAGCCTTTGTAATCTTATACATGACTAGAATTCAAATGTGTATCTTCTTAATACGTATAACTATGGTACTCAGTCCAATCATTATTACTAGTGTTCGCTGACCGGTCGGCATTCGGTCGATAACCGTTACTGAAAAGTTTCAAAAATATTCCATTATTAATGGGTAACTAAAACTCATCAAAAGCTACAAAACAAAACTGATTGAAATCTGTTCACAAACACAAGAGAACTACTCTGTCTATTAATTATACTATTAATTACTATTTTAGTTTTTATTAAAAATAAATGTTTTATTAGATTTTTACGTCACTACAGACTTTAGTTGACTGTTTCAATTTGCATTAAATTACAATTAATGCGGAATTTATTAATAATTATCTAAATTTAAAGACAATAGAAGTATACACTAGGAAGGTATGATCCATGCATAATTGTTTCTGTGTTGGACAAAACAATAGACAAGCAGTTATCAATTGTTCCCCGGCATGGCATTCGGGAATCCGTCCACCTGTTTGGGCCCACGATGCCCAAATATTCAAATTTTATATATTGCACAGTGGTCCAGCCTTGAACCGTGTATAGCAACGATGACCATAACTCTGTATATCCTTCAACTCCCAGCGGTCTGGTGAGTTTGCTTAATTTTTTTCAACAAACCTCCGTCTACGATTGCTTGAATTCCATCAATTTAATGAACTTTTACTATACATGCTAATAATGATTTGTTAATATTTAATTGGCAATACCTGACTAACTGTACAGATAAATAAAAATCACTAAAACAAAACTACATCAAATCTTAAATATGTCTGTCATTAATCACTAGCGACCTGAATCAACTATGCACGGATCGCGCTAATTGCCAAAAAATGTTCTGTTGATCCGATCGCTACAAACGTAACTGGTGAATCCGCTCGCCTTATCTGAAAATTGCCTGGAAATTTCATTGAAATCGGTCTAGCCGTTGTGGAGTTCACAGGGAACATACATACACACACATAGACTTTTACTTACATATACAGATATCATAGATCTAATTTAGCAAATAACAAAAGAAGACAAATGAATAATTTTCAAAATATTTATTAAATTTGTTAAACCAACAAAAAGTGAGTTATTAGTCTGATGCAAACGTCAGCATTTTTCAAATAGTTATGACAATTAAACATTAACTGTAGTAGGGCCAAGTGGCAGCTTCAGTGCTTACACGGATGGGCAGTTACGGCCGAGAAAGTTCATAGACGGTCTCAGAGAAAACCGCGTGGAGTGAAAGTATAATACTGCCGCGTTTCGTCTGGTGAGTGAGGTACCCGGGACCCACTTTTATAAAGGTTGGCAACACATCTCTAATCACCTTTTTTTGCTAGATGTCCATTGCCGTAATCATGTGACATCAAGTAAGGCGTCTGCTCACTTGCAAGTTTTTCAAGAAAATTCTTAAGTCTACTAAAGCTGCCAAATTTAAATTGTTCGCCCTGTGATATTTAAATATAACCTAGCAATTGTTAAATGAAACTATTTTACGGATTTCAGGTAGCCCGAGTTAACTTTGAAAATAAGACGCGAAACAACTCAGTTGCCGTGGCCATCAACGCTGGAAAGGATTCGAAACTTCGGGAATTTATAAAATCCAGTTAAACGCGATAAAATCCCAAAAACAGTTTTATTTAACAATGAATAACATTCGCGTAAAAACATGAAATCAATATATAACGTAAAATTTTAAATCTTTCGATAGAATAAAATTCGAAAATAAAAAGTGCATTTTGATAGAAAAGTGATCTAATTTTGTTCCGTCCACGGTATTTTATTGCATCATATCATTGTCCACATCCGGGTAAATATCTGACGTCTAAGTCAATCAAAATCTATATCCGTGTCTGTACGTGTGTGACATAAATAATTATTCGATCTTTTGATCTCTCGATTTGCATTACGACCTCTATATGTGTAGAAACTTTGTCATTAATCTACTACATGTAGAATCGAGTATTGATAAGTTTCTAATAGAGTTTTAGTTATTATTTTCATTTACAATGTTGTTTTTATTACTTTATATTTATTCAATCTTAATCGTAAATCGTTAACATATCTAATCAATTACATATATTAACATAAATGCGTGAGTAAAGTAAGTACCGCGTTCATTTGAACCGATATATTTTTAGGTTACACTAAACATATATTTATTTATTACACATTTAAATGTTTTTGGTTTGTGTTAAGCTGAGCATTACCGTGACAAGTCAGTTCTTCAATTTCCGGTCAAATCACAAAATAAATACCCAATTTTCCGCTAAACTACTGCGAATCCGCTTGGCCCTATAGCAAATCGTCTTTGTGACCTCCTTCAGGGTAACAAATACAATACAATCAAATCTTATGAAAGTGAAAGTTTGCGTCTGTTTTCTGCTTCACGCGAGTGTCTTTCGGAATAAATTTAGTTTCAACTTTGATTAATACACCGGATAACTTTTAACTCCAATATAAAGTAATACATTCTTTATTTTCAAGCGACCAAGATCATAAATAACATATGAAGTAAAATTCTACATCCAAATTCAAATTCAGAACCAGAAACAAAAAAAAAAAAAAACCGAAAACAAAACAAAGAAGTAATTTAAAAAGAATCTGTCTTACCACGGAGAGGTAGGTGCACTTGGCACACCAAAGCGGCCCACCGCCGAACCCAACCATCATTCCAGCCGGCACCAGAGTGTACAAACGGGGATAGAACTGCGCTGCGATGAACGGCATGTAGGCTATGAACGACAAAGCCACAGTCCACTTGCAGCCTAGCCATCTGGTAAAGAAATATGTTTTAATAAAGTTTTATATCTGGCTAGCGCACCCGACAGATACGATTTTAATTCGAAATTTGTTTCGACAAAATTTTGAATCTAAACCATTCTCGAATACACTTGAACATACACAAGTAATTTCATCGAAATCATTTCAGCGGTATAGCATATCATACACATACACAGAAGAATTATATACATAAAGATGATAGAGCTCCGATGTTTTAAATACCATAATACGATTACTATTTAATGCTGTAAATATTTTACCAATACCATATGTATTTAAAAACGTGATATGTGACGAACCTCAAATCTAACACTAGCAACAAACGAGACGCGATACTCGCAGGGGGTTTCTACAGCCATGGTAATTACCAAGCCACCGGGGCAGTCTCTGATCGAGCTAAATTTACTGTGTTGTGTCTACTGTGTTGCTCTATATGATAAAAACAGCTGTCACATTAAAAAAAAGCCATATCTTTCCGCCCCAACAGGGATCTCAGTAAGAAAGGATTAGGTTTAGGTTAGTACTTTCTAATGACCTTTCTATGGTATTCCAAAATTTCGGTACCAAGCGACGAATTTCGAAATGGAGGGTGCTAAACAATCCGCTGCTAGCCCGAAGGCGAGCAAGTCCCCTTCTCCACGTTGCAGTAACAGTTAACTCAATTCTTAATCGTTTTAAATTAAGAATAAGCGGTTTAAATTAAATATTGTTACGTTTACGATTTTTGAAATTATTGCGGTTTACGATGTTATATTTATTTGCGCAGGCCTTATATATATTTATAACCACATAACGATGAAATCTTTAAGTGGTTATAAATGAGCAAAGAACGCGTATGCATCACGGAATTGGGTTTCATTCTAAATATTTCATGTGGTAATATAAAAACGGTGTATTTCTGATGTAAATTAAACATTTAATGCTCCATGCTGCTTTTGTATTTGTCATTAAATACGTAATATTAAATCGCAAAATATTATGAATTTCTGCATTTGCCGGAGTAAGCATGAACATCTTATAACTCGTGAAACTAAATAAACAACATTTCAAAGTTATACATAGTCTCATAGTTATATACTAAGTTATTAAGTAATAAGTTATGAACTATAATACCTGTGATTCAACGAAAATTATTTCGACTTCTTTCTCTGAACGAAATTTTTCCATAGACCTTTAGCGATAACAGAGTTGGAACACCTAAATACCGAGAAGGTGTCCCAACTTAGGAGATAAAAATAAATTAGGAGGACTTGGAGACAAAAACATATCTTACTTTTCAACCTCCGAAGTAAGCTAACTTGTTTTTCCCGTCCCCACCTTTGTGAGGTGCGCAGAACATGTGAATCTATTTGTTAAAGGATTTGGCCAGCTCTTTACAACCGACGTCAACCCTTATTGGGAACAGACGCCCAAATGCGGTGCAACTATCCGTGGGTCACACAAATACTTATCCGTTGTCAAATTGAAAATAATGAAATAAGGTAATTCACAACTTATAAGTCAAACAGCTCGATGATGGTAGACGATCACCTGTACATACTCATCGACAACAGAATAGATGTCGCAAAGGTGTTGTTAGTTATTTGGACAAGATCCGACTGACTCGTTAACTCTTAATAGATGGGGTCTTAATCGATTTCTTCTTTCTTATTCTTCTCTTCACTCACTTTATAACTATCGCCGGCAGGAAGATGTTCGACAGTATCAGGGAGAAGTAGATGGCGGCTAGCGTGAAGGTGCCGGCGCCGGCCTCGCTGTTGACGGAGCTCTGGAGGTTGGCAGCGCCGTGGAACGCGGTAAAGTGCACCATGAACGCGAAACCGAGCACAAATATGTTCCTGTTGATGCGCCATCTTTCGTTGGTCCCGAACACCGTGTCGTCCGCCGGCATCTCGATCTGCAGCCAAAATATAAGTATTGTTAGAAGTAGAAACGATAACTATTTTTTTAAAGAACTTATTGGCCAATATAATTCGTTATTAATTCGGGTAGAGCTGAGAACATGATGAGCGCGCGTTTTATAGACCGTTGCGGTGTTGCCATTCGACATTTCATTTAACAATTCCGTGAGCGTCTTCTGTGAGCCCGAGCAGTTTCATCGGACACACCTGCCCGTTTCTTTTTTTTTAAAGTGACGCATATACTATTGATATACATCTTAATCGATATATTTTTAAAATCTAAAGATAAAGTACGAAAAGTTGGTCGCCGCTGTGGGAATCGAACCCACGACTTCGGCATTCGCGGCCAGACGCTTTAGTCAATATATTTTTGTGTAATTAGAAAGTATATGAACGTGTTTTGCAAAGACGCATTATTAGATAACGTTTATCGTGTACGTGCAATATAACTCCGCGTGTAATTTATTTAGTTCCTAAAGCTAAAATAGTCAGATATTTTTACAAGACTTATTAACAACGCCGAATAATTGTTATCCGAAAGCCTATGTATTTGTTTAAAGAAAAGAGTTTAGGTTCGCTCTATAATCAAATAAACTTTAGGCAAGGCGTAAATGAGATATTTAAAATCGTATGCGAATCGTACGTTGACAGCTTTACACGTATTATTAAATATATTTATTAAAAAAAAGTGTATGTGTACTTATGTACAAGCGTTAAAAATTATACTTCTTTGGCGTAACAACATGAAAATCTTTTCAAAAATTTTATAATTCGCCTTATTCTAGGTTTGTAGAAGAAACCACACTAACATTAGAAAAATGGTATTTAATACATTGGAAGTTTTATTATAACACATTTTCAACTTAAATAAAGTTTACCTAAATATCACAAAATAAATATCGTGAACACAGTTGTCAGTTCTCACCAAAGAGTACATTATTAATAAGGTTCTCACACAGGGTGTCGGTTTTCGTGACTCTGTGTGCGCGCAGTGCAAAAATTTACTCTCATCATTTTTCCCTAACATGAGAAAAAAGTATAACTTCATGAACAGAGTTCTTAATACTAATTAATACAATAAATAAACATTTCGTTAAGGTTTAAAATTTTCTAAATATTACCTATATTTTCGAAGTCACTCCTAATTCCCATTAGAAACATACCGCCACCAATACCGTTTATAAATAACTCCCCTCTCATAAGTAAACTAGCAGAACACCTGGGTTTTTACAACAATACTTATGTGACCTACAGTATGGGTTTTAAATATCCAATTCTAGTAAACAATTACCCTTAACCAGTTTAGAGTGAATATACGTTCAAGATGACGTCCTTAGACATTATAGGCGTTGTGAAATTGACTACTTTTTTAGAAATTATGTTTTTTATACTGCTATTCTCTGCACTTAAGATTAAACATTAAAATGTGTAGAAAAAGTGCGAAAAGATAGTCGCCGCTGTGGGAATCGAACCCACGTCTTCGGCATTCGTGGCCTGACGCTCTAGCCACTGAGCTAAACGGCTGATTGCCACACCGACGAAAACCTTAACGTATTCTTCTACATTGTTTTCTTAGCATTCTGAAGCAATGCTTGGCGCCATCTATTGTTATATCCTTTCCAGCACACAAACAAATTCGAATATCGTTTTACAACGATAATTCGAACGAGAGATGTCGCCATTGCTTTTTTAGAAATTTAAATTGTTTATAGTGCTAATCTTTGCACTTAAGATTTTAATGTTCAATCTTAAGTGCAAAGATTAGCACTATAAACAATTTAAATTTTTAAACATTAAAATTTAAAAAAAGTACGAATGTTCTATTCCCACAGCGACAATCTTTTCGTACTTTTTCTACAAATTCTAATATTCCGAACGTTTATAAAAAAACTGCATAAAACTTGTCACTCATAGATAACGTCACTAAAAAAACCAACTGTCGGGGATTCCCTTGCAGGTGACATTTTAACATGAGGGAATTGCTACTCGTATATTCATATGTGTCAATCGAATTGTTTTGTAGTTTTCCTGACACGATGCACTTTTAATGCTGATAATTATAACTCTGTTTCTTCGTATCAACCACAAATAAACCAAAAATTGTCTGGAAATACATTATCTCTCATAATGTATTTCATCATCAAGTGTTAGTAAATGAGTGTCGCAATGATTTTCCACGAACGCCATGCTAATTATTGGCAATATGAGCTAAGCGGCTTGATAACATCTTTCAAATGTGAAGAGTTGCGGGGAGATCATTTAACAAAGTTATGCACCGTCGAGGGATTTCGTACTCTGATACAGAATACTCGTATAGCCAACGTAGACTCATAAACAAAAGTAAGTTTCTTTGGGTACTAAGTTAGGTTTCTTTGGTTACTGGTGAAGACTCATTTGATAGATTTCGAAATAAAACGCCGATAGCCACAGTGACATATTACCCTTCAATCTTCACCACCATCTAGCTACATAATCTACACACAGCGTCTAATTAATCATAGTCCACTGAGAGATAAAACAGTTAAGCAAAACATAATATTTGCTAATAAAACTGATAACGCTACACAATATTTGTGTTATACACACCAAAGATATTGTGAGTGTTCTAATTGATTAAGAACTGATTGGACTTGTTTTTACATATAGAACCAAATGCAAATTGTACTGTTTTTCGAAACAATAATACTCACAACGCGTAAAAGAGAAAAAAAATAGCCTATACAGAGCTATACTAGAGAGGGGTGTGTATGTTACATATCCCTCTCTCATTTTCTCTTCCTATCTTCTCGCGAAGACAGAAGCCTGGAAATACAGCTCAGTTCTTAAGCACCTATGTACACATACATAGAAGCTACTCACAAAAATAATCTGAAATAAGACAATTTTGCTTTGACAAGAGTTTATGATAAGAAAGCTCTTTCGAAAGAGAGATTGACACTTCAATATTATTCATCCGAAACCGTTACTAGTAAACCAGCGCCTGTGGATCGAAGTCAATACAATTATTTATAAATTGTAACGACGTTTGACGGACTATGTGTTCCAGCTTCCGCGCGGTCACCTCGTCGGTGATACAGTTATTACGGCCAATAAAATGCGAAATGAACTTAGATATCAACCTTTTGCGAGGATTCGAGTCAAGGCTAGCCGTAGTCTCGCTCCGAGCGATTGTTATCGTGTAATAAGACAAATGTCCGAGACTCTGGTTATCCCTTACGGATAGAATGGCGAGACAACACTACTTGACATTTTTATAAAGAACTGAGTGGGACTGGGTTAAGGCAGTGATGTGTTTGGATGGATTTGTCCCACTAAGATCAGTCTATTAGTTGGAAAAATCCTAGATAACGCCGCTGATAAAGAGTCCCTAGTCCCATCACTTTTCGTGTTGCCTCTGAATATCTGAAGATCTTATCTCCATGACCATATAAGGTTAACCTATATGTTAGCCTAAAAGTAACTTCTAATAATTCTTATACTAAACTTTTTGGGGTTTAAATATATAATTAATATCATAAGAGTATTTTCTATCAAGGCATAACGACAGATTTAGTCCATAATGTGTAAAGTGCGTTCGATCTACTACTGGAAAAATATTTTGTTGTAAATGAACACAGTGTTTTTTCCAGTTTTTGAGCGTTTATACATCATGTATAAAATGTATTTATTACAAACATTTAACCATAGTACAAGCTTTGGTTAGGTCGGGACTAGAGAACGTTGTGTAAAAATGTGTCCTAAATATTTATTATTTTATTATAACTTCTCTTGTCTCTTCTCTTTGGACAATTACGGTTTGTGTTTTCATAGTCATTTAATTTAACCGTCTATCATTAAATCAGGCAATTGGGAAATGAAAACAAGTTAAAAATAAATTTATTCTGTACTTTCGTGTGTTACACACAAATACGTTCGTAAACTAATATACATACGTCTGTATATGTATAGAACATGTATATTTCTAAAAAATATTGATAAATGCTGTATAGATAGTATGGTATTAAATACACGTACACTAATGATATCGAATATATTCTTCTCAAATATTTTGCTTTATTATTGTAATAGATTTAAAATATTATATAATAATAATGATTCCGGAATTCGTTTACGAAATGGCAATACAAATTATGCATACAAGATAATATATTCTAATTTTACATATCACATACATTGGCTGTGATGATGACAATAATTTTCGTTTCAAACCAATTATCGTTACCGTTAATGGATAATTTCATTCAATTTTAAATCAAATTTCTTTTTAATTAATAGTAAAATCAAAATCAAAATCAAAATCAAATGTATTTATTCAACATAGGAGCATTACACTCACTTATTGATAGTCAAAACACTACCACCGGTTCGGAAAAGAAAGCCACTGTACTGAGAAGAACCGGCGAAAGAAAGCTCAGCGGGCTTTTTTTTTTAAATAAGCATTTGACATAAATTCGTTAAAATACAATATAAGAACTCCGATTGAAAGAGCCTGGAGCGATCAGTTCATTACCAGAGTGTGTTATCATTTAAATAATCATTAATATTATAGTAGCCTTAAACACACAAACGTTTTTTTACTATTTTTTTAAATTTAGCTATTGATGCATTTTGAACGTTTTCGGGAATTTTGTTGTAATAACGTATACATTGTCCAGTAAATGATTAACTTATTTTACGGATTCTACTCGTGGGTAGGATCAATTTATTTTTGTTCCTAGTATTTATATCATGAACATTATTATGTCTTAAAAATTTATCCTTATTTTTATGGACATACAAAACATTTTAAAAAATGTATTGAGCAGCAACAGTCAATACCTTTATCTCTTTAAACAAGTTTCTTAACGATTCTTTGACACCGTGTGCTGAAAAATTATGAAATTGTTTTTATATAGGTATAATATAATATACAGCAATAGTAAAATTTAAAAATAAAGATATAAACAACTAATAAATTAAGTACGGAAGAAATGTAATTTTTTTAAATTGA